AAAATCTCTATAGTCATGTGCAGACTTGAAAACGGTACAGAAATCCGGTTTATACTATCGTTGGTACGACGAGATTGCTGAACTATGATAAATAGGTGTGTTAACAGGACATAACATGTTAGCAGCGGACGCAAGCAAAATGGGGATTGCTGTCGGGGAAGTAGAACACATTGTATGCCATTGTCCTGCTGTATCAAAAACACGATTGAAATATCTCGGAGCTCCAGAGTTTAATAATCATGAGGACGTGGAAACACTTCGGCTTCAAGCACTGCTGAAATTCTCAAAAAGCGCGGACATCCTAAATGATGCATACATCGAATATACTTAACTGAGTCTCTATTTTCATCTGGCATTACTAGGGATCTATTGGTATATATGGGGCAGTCAGCCAGTCAGAATAACCTAACCTAACACTATATTCATGTTGAAATTTTAACTCGAGTTTAACGTTTTGGGCTTATGAACAACTGTCAAGTGTTCTCACTGGGGTGTTTAATAAATTCAGAGTTTAATTTGACATTTGTGGGTTTACTTTTTCTTATTCACATTTAGCCTGTTTCCGTAATCCAGGATTTAGATAGCAATAGTCCGAAGTAGCCGTGATGTTGAATACCAACCTTTAGTAATAAAGAAATAAAAATCGACTGTTCTGGAATGAATCCAGTGTTAGTTGCAAACTCCCATAAGACTAGCGCCCCTTCAGAGATATTTGTGTGGATTGTACTGTACTTAATGCCCGAACGTGTACGGAAAGAGACTAGTGCGCTTTAAAGCAAGTCAACAAGTCCACAACACGGGCACAACCTCTCATTCGAAGTACCTAAACGTTACTCACATAATAATCTCGGTACTCACAACAAAATGAAGAAATCTTTGATATGTATTTGGGTATACAAATTTTTAATTTATACATAAATATAAATATAAATATAATAAATACAATAAATATAAATAAATAAAAAAACATTTAATTGAAAAGTGATGTATTATGGGGAATTTTGTTAGCTTCCATTTTCCATTTTCCGTATTTCATATTAAAATTGTTAAATTGGTTCGTAAGATATACGTGATTAAGGGCCAATCTTACAGTGACGAGTTAACTTTCGTTCGTCAGGTAACTACAGGTTTTCAGTACAAAAATTGAAATTCGACCAACGAATTTGAGTAAACCCCTCACTGTGAAAACGGCACTAAATGGAAAAATTTTTTGGAACTTTATCTGAGCAATTCTACATAGGAATCGGACAGTGGCATCTGGTGAACAACAAAAAAAAATTGTGATCCAATGGAACCGCTTATTTTCCCCAAATCGGTATAATCATACACGTCGCAAAGCTTAAGGTTTGGTATGATTCAAAATTTGTGGCGATGATTCGAGTGAGGTACAAGTTTTTCATTGTATCAAAAGTAACGAGTAAAGTAACGGGTGTTAATGAGCTCAATAGATGTTCTGGGCGCAGTGCATAACTTTGTATTAGTAACGAATACATACGCGTATCCAAAGTTTCGTAACTTTTGCAGCGTTATTCGCCACTTGCTACTTGCTTGGCGAATCAAAAACGGCCATTGTTTATATTTACTAATAAATGCAGGCATATCAACCAAGAGCCTGAATGTATGCTACGTTTCATAACCAAAACATGTGCTCACAGTGTGGAGAAAAACATATGAATTGGCTTGAATGGATATGCACGAAAAAAATACGGTGGTGTAATATTATGACAGATTTTATTATTACAGATTCATCACTGACTTAATAATTATACGTGTTATTTATTCCATGGATGTTCATCCAACGATTTGTTTTTGGTGTTAATATTTGCTTAATATCATTTCGCTCTGTATTTTTTAAACATTTCTGTTCGAAACGTTTTAGCGGTTTGTTTTATAATATTTGGCACACCCTAATACAGTTATCGATTGTTTTTAATCTCGCTTAATAGAAAATAATTTTAAAAAATTTATCTTTGTATTATATTTATATTTGTTATCACTTCCTCATTTCAAAATATGGTTTCGCTTTTTCTAAAAATCGTATCAGCTGGTCCGCTTCCGCCACTCTTTCCGGCAACAAAGAAAGGAGAATTCTACAGAAGCATACATACACAATTTCGATTGCAACTTGAACTTACCCATATTAAAATAACCAAATTATGTACATACATCAGGGACCGAACATAACAGTTATTGATGAAAACTGTCATTGAAAAATTCGCTATGAAATCTAGGTGACACATAACAATCGATTCCTCTTTTCACCGTGAATCAAATTTGAAAATAAATTTTTATTTGTAATTTTTATGCAACGTTAAAATAAATAACAATTGTCTTTGATTCTTTTTATCTTTGATATTTTTGATTATTATCTAAATAATTTGAAAATAACAGCTATGTTTGATTTTTATTTTATAAGTCTTAGATAACAGTTATCGAAGACTTTTATTTATAAAAGTCATCAATAAAAATCAATCAGTGATTTTTACTTTTAAAAGTCAACAATATAAATCAGTCGCCGAATTTTATTTTTTT